TTCAGCCCAGTGCACATGTTCGATCAGCCTCCACACTAATGAAACATTCATTTTCCGACCAGCCTTTGAACCTAAGAAACATTCATTTTCCCTGCCAATTTCTGCAATTATCAACATTCAGTTTCCGACATGTCCCATCTATTGACCGCTGGCATACTCACAGTGCCAATTCACTTGCTTTTATGCCTTGCTTCAATAGCTTACGCAAACAATTATGTTTGGAGAATCACATATTTCAGCAATCGCGGTATATAATTAAGGCTGTACAACGCTGTAATTGCATTCTGCCTGACCAGTAAAAGTGCCCGTTGTTCTTACTGCTCTCGGGGTCGGGTAGCCGCGCGGGAAGTCAGCGTTCGGTCTAGGAAGCCGTGAAAGTTGCGGGTAGAAACCGTGTTGCGCCGAAGTCTCACGGATCGTACTAATACGAATTCCGTTTACTACCTTGTTATGTGGGGAAACAACTACAACACGTTCGTTCGTCCGACTGGGAGAGTCGATACCTGCCCGTCATAACACGTGGTGTAACGGGGTTGCAGTTATAGAAGAAACCCAGTTTGCTCCTCGCGGATCTGATTTTCTAGGGTGCCAGCCAGTCTAAGAACATGAACAAAAACAAGTAACTTGGTGGTAATGGAGATCAGAGTGATCCCTCTACGACTGCCGCACTCCGAACGTGTTTGCCTTGAAAATTGGGGCTGTAACGGAGCTGCTAAAGTCCGGTAGAACATTACCATGCTCGCCCAGCCTCATTAACAAGTTGTGCAAATCATATAAAAGAGCTCGCCCCTCGAATTAGAAGAGCGCTAGATGAGGTCCACCTCATCCTGCAGCTTTATTCAATATAAAAGTCTGATCTCACGTTCGACTTCTGCGTGTGAGAGCGGGTTCAAGGGGACGGTCCAGAGGAAAGAATGGTCTCTGGTCGGTAACGAATCCAGTAGTTTCGGCCGGCTAAATTGCTTGTCAAAGTGCTCGGCCCAACGCTCTAAACCTGAAAATTGAGTGTGTTTTCTTGTCGCATATAGTTACGCTAACACCAGGTCCCCCGCTGCACGTTTCGTGTGTCATATGGAATAACTTATGATGGTTACCGATGGTAGCGGCTGTCTCCATCTTTGAGGCACGGTGAGATCACCAGGCATCGCGGTCTCTCTTCAGGGTACTACGCAATTGTCCTGAGGTCTTAGAAAACCGAAATACGCAAACGAGCATCTAGAAGTTCCAGAATGCGCAGAGACATAATGTCTAGGCTGGCAATTTCATTTGCTACGTAAAGACATGTCAGCTGCTAACAATGTATGGTGGTTATGCGACATCCAAATAGGTTCAGTGTGCACTTAGTCAACCGGCATGACAACACAGTTTGATATGCAGTCAGAACTCCTGTCTTCACCAGTTAGGGGATGTTGGTGCGCTTACAGCATCGTCGCGGGCATCCACCGAAGAGAATTCGAAGAACGGCACATACGAGTGCATGATCGAGATCCACGCTTTGGCTGCAAATCAAACGGCAGTTTGAACACAGTTTATCCAACAATAACTAATAGCGATGTGATCAGTTTGCGTTCAGGATTGGTTTAAGATGGACGTCATGTCACCCTCCTGCGGATGGTATGTCGGAAGCTAGTGCTCACGATATCTGGACGAGTATCTTCACATCAGCGTAAGAACCACCCACTTATCCTTGTGGGAGTCCACATCGTGTTGGCCACCCAGATAAAGCCCATCGATGAAGTTTTCCAACTTGAGCGTTGCAATCAACAACAACTATCGTGACGAAAGAGCACATTCAGTTGGGGATAGAAGTCATCTTTCACCGGCAGCAATGGTAATGGCACCACGACTACGAAGCTTTGAACGAGCCAGACAATCTGTAAACACGTCCGGCTGTTCAATGAGATGCAATCGACAAATCAGCTTCAGTCCATGGACACAGGGCAATTCCCATGCCGGCTTAACCAGTATTTGAAGCTGCGTCACCTCCAGACAAACGCAATGTGCAAGTGCCGCCAGTGTCGCACGTGGGTGATCGCCAGGAATGCAAGAAGCTTGAAACTTGAAGGCGGGTTTACGATAAACAGCAGACAACAGTGAGGTTGAAACGAAACGATACGGATGGAGAAGCGCGAGGGGAGGAATAAGAAGATGGAAAGGCCTAAACAGTAGCACTTTCACCCCCTATCCACCCTGCTCGATGCAGCAGATAGGGCGCAGTTGATTATCTTCTAGGAAGACCAGAACATCAAGAAATTGTCTGAAGAGAGAATCATTGTATTGAGTGGGTAGGACAATGTTAGGGTGCTCAAGCCTGAACAGGCGAACGATTAGGGTTCCCAATCAAATTTGATTTAGAAACCGGGCAGTAAGGTAGTTGTGTTTCGGCACTGAACTACAGAGTAAGGAGTAAGGAACCACCCTTACTCTCACCCACAACCTGGAGAGCCAGGAGACTGAGTTGGTCTAGCCCCTAGCCATTGAAGAATTTGGCATCAGTAGCTCTGTAGGTGCAAAAAGCACAATGAAGCACAGCCCAATGGATCCCAGAGGCAGGCGCACTGTTGCACTACTTTACATCGAAATGAACGTGACGGCCAGAAGCAAGTTAATAGCTTTATTTACCCCGGGAGTTATATCACAAATAGTAGCGGCTTCCGCAACGGATTGCTACATTTCGCCGCATATTCATTAACCTGAAACAACTGTGAAGTATTTGCGATGTCAGTGTCAAGTTCAGGAACAGAGTGTACAATGCCACCGTCAGTGCGGTTCGGCTGTACTGCTGCGAGACCTGGCCTGTTAGCTTGGTAGATCACAAATAACAGCCAGTCTTCAACAGCCATTGCTTGCAAACGGGTACTCGGGTGTGGTGGCAGCACCATGTAATCAATAAGGGTTAGAAACCATGTTCTGAACGAACATTCCCTTTGTTGAAATCGTTATCTTCACTCTGAAACAAAAGTTGCTACATCCATCGCTGTTACGGTCCTGATGGCAAAGTTGCCTGGGTCCAGAATTGTGAGTAAATGTAAGGGAGAAATTGCTTCACATTTTTAACTTCTTACATTGCAGCTCTCTTAGCCGTGAGAAAGTTAACAAGAAAGTACGCATGCAGTCAACATGGTAAATAGAACGCAGAAAGTGTGTTCCATGATTCCATTCGTCCTCAACTATGTGAGTAAAATGAAAAAAAGACATCACAGCTTTCATGCAATTCTGCGTAGAGATCGCCAAACTTAAACTGACAACATAGGCGATATGTAGGCAGAGTCGAATAAATTGATTCAGAGAGCTGAATGTCATCGCACGTGCGTCATACGACCAAAGTACAAATTGCCGCTGCAGGACAAGGCATATAAATCCCACTACGATGGAACAACCTCAGGAAGTCGCCGGTCGATTGGCTTATCTGCGTTGTTGTATCACTACTGGTGCTAACTGAATTGTCAAGATTCGCATGATAATCCAAAGGTTCAGTTGGTAATAATAACGAGGGGATAGAAGCACACATGTGTTAAGAGATTGGCTGTGTCTGATGACCCGTACTAGCAAAGTATTGCACATAAATGGCCTGAACACCGGTTATGGGTAGTGACCCTTTGTTGTCGTACAAGCGAGATGGACATTTAAATGAAGAAAAAGAGGACTGGATGAAGAGGAAATAAAGATATCATCAAGAAAACGTTAAAGCCCAATGTGTCCACACTTTGTCAACTACGTGCAGCCGCAAGTGGCTGATTGCCATGAAATCAATCAGGTATTGGTGGGGAGACACCCTTGCCCAAAGATCTTTATTAATCATGGAGAAACTTACGCGACTTTGCAGTGGCAGTTGATCAGAATATTTAGCATGTTAACGCGCACTGCCTTTCGACGAAAGCAATCCCACTCTTCAATCGAATGGCTTGCTACGGAACGTAATATTCCGTCGCATGAACAGGGCATCAAAACTTCCACTAGGTTCAAGATCACAAGCTAACTGCGCGACGCTGTGGAAATGTGATGTGACTGTGGATAGCGTTTCAGAAGTAGCCGCATAAGCGATTAATAATGATAACCGAAATGGGGTAATCAATGGTGCACTCGCAGTCGGTTTCTTGCTATTATAGTCGCCAACCAACTCATGTGATTACAATTTCCGACCCTTCGATTTTTTATGAGTTCCATAAAACGTCCATCATTTGCCGATTGCTTTAACTTTAATCCGAATGGTGGTGTGTCACCGTGCTCGGGTGTTGGCTTGTAAAACTGAACTGCTGCTGCGATAGCATTGAAGATTTTTGCGAGTTCGCATTTTGGCTTCTACCTCGCTCGCAGATTAAGTTTATTAATTGGATGTTTGAGCAGCCTGGTCTTCACGGTCTCAAATGATGCTTGCCAGTGTAATGGTTCACAGATGTTGCGCAGATAGGGAGATATCTCAGGAGTAAAAAAGTATTACTCCTATATTCAACAGGCTGTGTGCCAAAATTAGCACTGCTGAACTGAATCGCTGAACTCAACTCAGCTTTCAAATGCAGTAGAGCAGGAGACCAAATTCAAAATAGAAGCGACAGCTGTTTAAATGTCCAAACAGTTCATACTTGAGCGACGACAGAACCGAGTCAGCCAAAACGATCATGGTTGGCCGATTGGCCACAAGGACCAACCAGGTTGCAGAAGTCTGTGTCTAAGCATATCGCGTGAAGTCTGGTGCCTTGTTAAATTTCGGCATATTAACATAATCCCAAAGGTCGCCACGACGAACCAATATAATTAGGAGCGATTGTCTACTGGCTTAATGACAAGTGAAACCGAAGTCAGAATAGAGTCACATCATGTACATCGGATGACTGATTACGATGAATAATATACAATGATATGTGCGTGAAAAGGAATGCGCGAGAAAAACAGAGCAGGACGGAGTGCGCTGAAGCCGTAGAAGTTAGCGAAATCGGACCCTAAATGACACGTACGAGCTAGAGGAGCGTCAGAACAGTGGAGTTAGGAAGTAAACTAACCCAGGGAACTCACAACCTCCTCCACAGACGGCTCCGCTGATAGACTCAACAGGGACTTCACTGTCACCAGCTTATTTTCATAAGCAATTAAAGCGTCCGCCGAAGACGCGGCTTGGTTACAAAAAGAATCGGAATTCACCTGCTTCAACAGAGTCAGTAGCTGGTCCAAAAAATCATCAGGAACAAGAGCTTGGTTTGGCTTGGAGACGATGTCCCACAGTTGGCGAACGGCAAATGCTTGTAGTAACGCACCGTATATGGCAAGTGGATGAGTGTGTGTCAGTCTAGTAATGTTTATAATCAGATCCTGGAGGAAAAGATCAAACAATGAGGGGATATGATATCCACTAATAACATGCGGCAAGGTACCATGCCATGAACAAGTCCATAAGAGATCAAAAAACGAGAGATGAGCAACCCTAAGTAAACAGTGTTGGTCAGGATGAGAATGGCAAAACGAAAGGGACCAGTCCGGAGTGGAATAATGACTAATCGTCACATGCGAACCGAATTATCGAGTTTAAACAATGGACATATCAAGTCTGCTGTGTAGATTCACGGAGGTGTGGTAACATGTTGGAAGCTCGAGTTTATTGTATGCGAGTTGTGTTCTCCGCTGAATTTGACAACTCGGTGTGAAACACTTCGTTCTGGATAGAGCAGACATCAGGTTGTACGGATGTACTCGGCAGCTGTAGGCGAATCAACGGAAATACTGGGGCGATTATAGCCAAATTGATGAAATATTTAATAGGTGATTGACAAAGTAATCACCAAAAGACGGGTTAACTTCAAGCTTGGCCGAACCATGAATACGCACGTGCGCAGAATTCTTACACCCATCAACCGGCAATATGTAACCATCAAGGAAATGTTGTATCACAAGTAGCTAGTCGTTCATATCAGATTTCGGAAGTCTCGTGAAGAAACTGTCGGAGCTCACATAGGTTAGAAATTCATAAGACCTAACAGAAAGTTAGCATATATTCTTATTTACTAAAAAGTCTGAAGGTAGCCAAACGTGCCATCAGAACCATCACTATGGTGGAGTGCGGGAGTTTCCTTAACAAATTATCCAAGAGAGTAAAATCACGCAAGAAAACTCAGTGGGAAAATGGGACGAGCTCATGGTGTACAATCGAAATATGAAGTCGTTTTAGAAAATTTTGTGTACACATAACATTTATATCCACCTTCTCATCGGCCAGCGGAACCGGTCAATAAATCAAAACAAGTGACGTGGCTGTTCAATAACGCGGACATTCTCTGGTTGACATATAAATGTTTGTTGATTTCACATTACTTGTTCCTGTTTCGGTAGATGCTTATACAACACGCATTTTGCCTCCAGATGTTGACCTCTGAGTTTAGCTGGGATTAGGAGCTGACAAAGAACCAGCTCAGTTCAATCGATTGCATACAAAGAAACAGATCTAACAAAAACGAGAAAACGATGTCAAAAAGGCAGCTCGGTCCCATTTTGATTTTTCACACATGCCGTATTGGCTTTTCCTGTTTTACCTATGCATCTAAAACTAAACATTGTATGAAGAAGAAATGGAACTGTAGCATAGGCGTACGACAAGGTGAGCCATCAAGTCCTCCTCCACAAGGGGTTTTGATGGATCAAAGTGCACCAATGGTTACAGGAGTTTTCCGTGCAGGTTTCTGGCATTTACATCAGACGTCCACACACATTTGAAGCCGTGTGAAATCACTGACATAGTCCACCAAATTTCGTTAAGCTTACTCGAAGATAATTAGCTCAAATGGCTAACGAAGGTTGCCAGCTTGATAAGTTCTGATCATCCGCATACTGCGCAAGATAAATCAGGTATTCATCATCATCATCATCGTACACGTTAGCTAGAGGTGGGGAACACCTCAGCTACTGTGCCGTTCCGAGTGGTCACAAGGTTTTAAATGCTGGCTCCATAGCGTGCACTAGACTCGAAGAACAGTCAAGAAAAGCGTGTGAAGGAAGTTGACACCGAAAGGTCGGGACAGCTTAGTCAACAGGAGTATTTGAACTCGCCGAAGCAATCAGCTACATTCATTAGCTTATTCCAGAAAACGAGTTGCGCCGTTTGTTCTTCTACAGATACGACCACCCTTCTTCCATGAGAATCATGAAGAATTCTCAGCTTCAGTGCCAGTCACGACATTAATCCCCTTCCTTGAAGTGGAACGAAAAGCGAACCGATATCAACAAGTCGAGCCGAAACCGATGTGATTAGTTAACTCAAATGGGAAAACAACAAGGCATCAGTAGTACGCCGGTGCACCGTACCGATGCTTCGTTGCCACGCAACCACCACCACTAGTCATGCGTGAGCTGAGGATAATACGAAGGTCGTGCAGTCTCCTACGCATGCTCTAACCCGAGACCTCGGCATTACAAGGCAAACGTGTGATTCTTTCGGCAACGGGCCGGAGGTAGTGCATATAAAATCAGGGTTCTAAGAGAGTCAGTTGATGGGTCCACCTTTCCTTCGAGAACTTATTTGTGTTGCTGCCTTATGCAAACATACTAGTATGTGTCCAATGACGTTACTTGAGAATGGCAATGCAGAAAGTGCAGTCAAGTTTCGGAAATGAACCTAGGCCAATGGATACATTAAGACATGATATTGGGAACACATAAAAAGCTTACAGCGAAATTAACGTCCGGAAGATGTATCCCAAAGAGAGCTGGGAAACTCGATCGCATAGCGCCACCGTTTCCGTAAGAACCTGTGCCATTGAATTGCGCTGCAGCTGGTTGGTAGGGGGCTTGAAAATTGTTCTCTTGCAGCTGACTAAAAACACGAGGCACACTGCCGCCGTAATAACGATGACTACCATCGGAGAAAAAGTCGTGAGCATATCTGTAGGAAATTCTTGAATCGCCATCAGTGATACATACTGTCTCGCTAAATCTTCCGGTACCAGACTCTCGTGATCGCGAAGGGAGCGAAGGGTTGCCAGGCCCATTTGAGTGTCATCGGTATAATCAAGCTGAGAGGTTTCCTCTGCGAATTTGGTGTAATTATGAAAGAGAACACAGACTTCCGCTTTCAGTGTCAGCCAAAAGCTTCAAGGGGATATCAACTGTCACACGAGGTTTATCTTCATACACGAAACCATAACAATCACCAATTAGTCCGCCAAAAAGGATCCCACGACAGAAGCAACCGAAATCCATTCCTAAAGGCAATGTTAAAAAGTTAGCGATTTGAAAACAGAGGAATTTACGAGTGCAAACACAGAAAGATGTTAATTAATCAAAGCAATCCGTGTAAAGCAAGCAGTTTCTAGGTGAATTCACCAAAACTAAATCATGCACACATATGTAGGATGTGGAGAGAGTATGAGGCCACCAATAGACAGAGGAAATCTTCACACTGTGACTGGGGAATACATTTATTACAACTGGCCAAAGATAAAGCCAAAACTGCCAGAATCAATTTGTCGACATATACAAGTTCTAGTTCCAGTGGGACTGAAATAGCAAGAAATTCTTGTGGATGCTCGGTCTAGAGCGCGTCGTTAAGTCAGGGAATTAATCAACGGTAATAGGTGTTAATACAGACAAAGAAATACGCACGAATCACCCCACGGTCAACCAGCCAATGACGGTATGGACAGCCGCAGCAGTCTCCGCTGCAAGGGACAAGTGAGATAAGAAACAAAAATACAGAGTAACAGAAAGATGGCAAGAAACAAAAAGACCTATAGAAGTATAATAATGCAAATAAGTAAAACCTAGGATGCACAAGGAAGGACCTGGATTTGCATGTCAAGATTATGCAACTGCATGTATCGAGTTCGATGCACAAAATATTTCACTGCTCTTGATGATACCACTTCATCGGGGAAGAATTCCAAGAATGAAGTACCGCACGTGCAAGTCGAATGTTCAGAAGATCTAGTGTAACCTCATCGAATGAAAGCGGAGAGGGGATCGTAGAGTTTGATGGGAAAAACCGAGACATCAGGGTCCATCTTCCCTGCGAGTGTGATAAGTAAGAAGCAAGTTGTCTCAAAGTCGACGATGATACAGTGAGAACAGTAGGAGATTAAGCAGCCTCTCTAAATATGACACGTACAAGAGCCCTTAAACTAGTTGAGTGTCATCCACAAGGACTCGCTACAATGAAATCTAATCAAGAACCGTGCAAGTTGGACAAGTTTGGTGCAATATTCCACCTGCGGCCTAAATATACCATATTCACTTTAAATTGGATGTTTAAAAAACAAATTGGAAGTTTCGCAAAAAATTCGGAACTAAAGTATTCTAAGCAGAAAAGCAGTGATTTGTTTACGAGAAATGAGGAGTAAGACGAGTAGACGATGTTCAGACCCTAGTGTAGCCAAGCTAATGCGGCCGAATTGTGTGAGCAGTGGGTGCCACTGAAAAACCGTTTTCTTGATCGTGAACTCTGATCACCCTAATCAAAATCCGTGACTAAGTTTCCCTGTCTTTCCTCATCGTCTATTCGCATAGTTTATGTGCCTACAGCTGTTACACATGAACCTGTGCAGCTGTTTAACTATTGGAAAGTCAGACGTGAAACACGTAACCATCAACCTCAATAGAAGTACTGCAGCCATTTGAACTGATGCTTCGCTGACGTACAACCAGAACCACCTACAGAACGGAGAACAACAAGAGAGATAGGGGGGGACTTAACGGAAAACCTTGATGCTATAGGCAAACATTCAAGGCGAGTGGCCTACACCTTGTCAACAACACGCCGTCACAAACAACTAGCTATCACGCAAAGATAAGGCGACATCAACGACACAGCTTTCTTGCGGCTTTCACTGTCCCGCGTCATAATCAGCCATTACCCTGCAGATAACTCAGCACAAAACACACTTAACAGACAGTCCGACTAGGAGACGACAGCAGACGCGCCACTAGTGTCAACTGCGAGCTACGCCTTGTAAAATATGGAGCCAAGCACGAGGTGAGTCACGTGGACTTCAGTCTGGAAGGCGAGACGGACAGACAGTAACCAGCTTGGTCCACAGTGGCATCATATCCTACTGAAACGTCAACTTTTGTCCACCTTAAGCCTTGCAACATCCTACATCTGGTACACCAAACAAAACCCTCCTCGGTAAGTAGTGACTAAGCATAAGTGGTACGTGCTCAAGCCAACGCAATTTATCCAGTGATATCCGTTGTTCTAAAGAACTACTTCGGTTATCACTGCCCAGTACGCACCTATGCACATAATCGTTGCGGACACACTGGTGCCACCCAACACCAACAATGCTCCGCAGATAACGATAGTCAAAGACATAAAGGCGCCTCAGAACCTCAGATGGAAGGCACTGTCTCACAACCACGGAGTGGGACTGTCCACACTGTTGCCGTGTAAACATGGTCTTTCAGATCGACGGACACCCCTTTCAGACGTCAAAGATGTTGCAGATTCAAGAAGGCAGTTCTAGCTTCGGCAAGAAGTGAACAGACTTTAGTGCTTATGCGTCCATCGTTTCTGATGCACCTATTATCATTCAACAAAATGTTACCTAGCTTTGGAGGGCCATTGTTTAGCACTCGTTTTGTGGACGGATTGCGATACGCAATTTCAATGTGGATTGCGATTCCCATTTAAGTAAAGGTTGACCCAATTCGATCACCTGGAATGTAACTGATGAAGCAGATAGGCGGTGACCCAGTTGTCTCCTGTCCCTCCATCGGCTTTCGCGTATTTTGTGTGGGTGGATGGGCGAACCTGTGCAACTGCTTGACTATTAGAACAGTAGAAGCTATCATGACTCCAACTAACCCAGCATAGCTTTATTTGCCCTGTGCTTTACTAATAGACCAAAATGGGCGACGAACGACGTAAGAACGCATAACCGAGGCTGTAGCAGTACAAGCGTACATCAACGGCACAGAAAGAGATCTTCACCAAGCTTGTGTTCGTCGACGGCAAAACCATACGCGAAGCCGATGTCAACGAGAGCACGGCGCAAAACACCATTGCTTAAAGGCGAGAAAGCACTAACGTTCAGCGCAGATGTGGAGCAAACGACCGAGAGAAGCTGACTCCGATGTCCTGCAGCGCATTGAAAAAACTGCTGAACGGCGTTCCGAAGACCCTTCAGGGAGAGAGTGATGTCGTGCGGGCGCCATAGGTGGCGAAGGTTAGCAAAAACGACTCGAGCTTTCCTTATATAGTTCGTGACCTCTCGATTCCACAGGCGCTGATACAAATCGCCCAAGTAGTGGAACTTTTGAACGAGTTCTAGCTGATCCCCACCAAGGGTCAGCGCAGGAGGTGGTTCCGGCCAATCGTGGAGGAAAGCTTTGCCCTGAGAGTGCAAAAAGAAACCCGAAACGACTGAAGGCCAGCGCTAATCTGTTCAGTGTAGCTTGACACGCTTGTGAGCTGTCCCAGATGAGGGCAATATCGTCAGCATACTCCAAGTCAAGAAGTCGTTCGGCTGGGAGCAGCTCCATACCTTCTAAATCGTGTCCTGTGAAAGCGGACTCCATGACTTCGTCAATAGCGAAGTTGAGAAAAGGAAAAGGTGACAGCTCGCATCCTAGTCCTACACCGATGGAGATACTGAGGAGCCGCGACAGCTTGCCGCAAGCCCTCACTCTGCCAGAGCTATGCACGTGTGGCGCTCGCATAATGTTTACATATTTCTCGGGCACAGATTTTCAGAGTGGACAGTCGCAAAGGGCACATCGATCCGCCGAATCGAGGGCAACTTTGATGTAGAGGAACACGACAACGGTGGGCCGCCAAGGTATGTGATGGTGCTGCAACAACTGACGCAAGGTGAGGATGTGATCGATGCAGCCACGACCTCGAGGAAACCCGGCTTTCTTACGAATATGGCTATCACGAGTGCCAGTCAATAGGTGGAGTAAAGAAGCAAGCAATTTGGAGGTGAGGGAGATCAGACTGATTCCACTATAGTTGTCGCATCCTGAACGGGAGCTTCCTTCAAAGATTGTGACGATGACGGAGCGTCTACAGTCGGTTGGGACAGTTTCCTGCTCCCACAGTTTCACTAGTAATTCCTGTAAATCATCAACAAGAGCAGGGCCCCCAAATTTGAAGAGGGCTGGATGAAGATCATCTGGTCCCACGGCTTTATTCAACTTCAACATACCGATCTCGCATTCGAATTCTGAGCGAGAGGATGGATCCAAAGGGACAGCCCAGGGAGCAGGGCGGTCACTGTTCGGTGAGGGAGCTAACTGCTTGCACAGCTACAGCCAAACTGGTAAATACAATGTGTTATGGCGGAGATCGATTAGGTTCGCTTGACTGGGGGCGTTGGTAACTTCTATTTTGTCCAAATAAGACACAATCTGGCAGCAATGTACGTTCGTCGAAATGCAGTGGCTACATATCGCGCAACTTGCGTTGTTACAAAATCTCCTTTGAGTGGTAAATGGAGGTAGAGTGGCATTTTTAACACAGTAGGAGACTTGTGTTTGTTGTCGTTGATAGTCTGTTCACTCTCGTCACATATAGTTTCACTAACCCCACGTCTTCCGTTGGCCGTTTCCCGAATCAAATAGGACAACTTCAGATGGTTACCAAGAGCAGCGGCCACTTGCATCTATGAGGAACGATGGGACCACCAGGAAGCGCGGTTTTTCTTCAGGCTACCACGGACTTTTGCCCGGATATCTTTTCGGGTCTCACTGTGTTCGCTTCCAGCCATAATGTGCGGGCGAGCATCGAGAAGTTCCAGAGACTGTGTAGAAACCCAATGTTCAGGTTCGCCATTAGATTTACAACATGAGAACTTATTTGATAAACTACGTAAGTGTGCCTACACCGACTGTACCGGGTAAGTTATAAGTTCTAAAGTTACTTGTTCAATTGCAACCGTTACTTGTCCTAGTGATCACTTTGATAACTATCAACTATAAACATAGAGATTATCAATAAATGTGGCGAGAACAGTTGCAGCATTGCAATCAAAGGCGGAATTCAATGCAACAGATGTCTGTAGTGGTACCACAACAACTGTTCTAGACTAGACCAGGAGTCCATTGATCTGTACGCTCGACATCGCTAATTGAAGTGGATTTGCTTCCACTGTGTATCTTTAGCGGATACTTGTGCTCACCTTGTACGTGGTAGGTTACTCGATCGCAGTTTGAAGACGTCTAAGGAGCAGGACAATGATAACAAACAGTATGTGCATAGACTCGCCATTGCAGAAAATATGATTCGTGACCAGAGTTTACTCATTGATTATTTGCATGCGGAAGCTGATGAAATGAAGTCATCTTTGGAGTGTTCTGTGCGCAATGCGGGACTTGCTATGGGCAGACAAAGAAACGTTCTTATCTACAAGAGAGAGGAGCCGGTGATACGGGAAGCTGACTCGACGTGATTTAGACAAAAAAAACGGTTATGGGATATGTTTCGAATAGCTGGTCCTCCGTTACATGTCGGCATCAGAAGGATACATCGTGTTGGCAATTGAAGGGAAGCAGGAGCATTGCGACCGCAGGGATTCGTCAGGCCGATCCTCGTAGAGTTCAAAAATGCTGTACACCGTGACATATAACTAAACAGGGCTGGATTAATGAGGAGTCACACCAATGGCAGGTATCATGAAGCACCAGACGCGCATAATTTGAAGCTTAAACGCCTACGATTAGGCCTAACTAGAGGTACTAATGCTAACCTGGTTACTAAATCTGTGCTGCAGATTCAGCTTTAGACGAAACTGGAACGATAGGAAAATCCTTTGAGTGTTCCTTCTTGAGCGGATTGTCGAGCCAAGAAAAGATAAGATGCTACGAGCTCTTGATGGATCTAAAACGAAAAAACCGGAGCACAGCCTGGCAAACCAATTACTGCCCACGTTACCTACACTAGCAATCCCCGCTCTGCAGGTCACGTGGAAGAAGAGGTAAGTGGAAAATGGAAGATAAAGAGGAGTCATTTAAATGAAGGATAATACCAAAGAATGAGGAGAATCACGAAAGGAACTCAAAGTTGGAAGATGGATATTATAGCGCGTCGATCGTGCGCTATATATCTAGTACGAGACTAGACGGCCAGCCAAGGCAATAGGTAGAACACACAAAACTTAAGCTAGGAAAAAGATTTATTGAACGGGAGGAGAGCTAGCTAATGTTAAAAATAGGGTACAGGGGATATCTAGCTAGGGAATTGGTTCACTGAGTTGTAGAAAGCAGAGGGGAGAACTCCGTCGACTCCTATTGATTGTGGGATATCTGAGTGTCGTGATGTGACGACGTTCCTCGGGGGCACGTCGCAGCTGCAGCAGGATCCCAGCGTCTTCATTAAGTGTTTATCTAAAAGCCTCTTTGAACATTCCTCCAAAGGTGCGTCAACAATTTCCGTAGGCAAACTGTTCCACTCATGTACCACCCGGGTGGACAGGGTGAGGTCTGAGCGAGCGTGGAGTCTTCGTGGTTTGAACAGCTTTTATTTGTGACCTTGTGTCGTGCAATCGGCGTTGGGGTGGAGGAACTGAAGTAGCTCGTTCCGCAGTTCACCAAGAAGGATGCGTCTAGTGTAGATGAGATCGCCGCGGCGACGGCGGAAATCCATGAAAAACAAGTTCAGCTGGTGAAGTCGGAGAGGGTAAGGAATATCGCTGAGCCCAAAGACAGATTTCGAGGCACGCCTCTGGACGTTCTCTATCAAAGAGCATTCAAAATTAAGGAGGGGGAAAACGGTTGGCTGCCCATTTTCTAGTATGGGACGTATACATGAGGTGGATAGAGGCCGGAAGATCCCAGGAGCCATTCGGGAGAACGACCTTGTCAAGGCACCTAGAAGTCTCGTTGCAGCTGCGACTTTCTTCAGTGTCCTAGACGTCCTAAGCTAAGAGGATACGATGATCCCGGGATCTTCTTCTTGAGTAATGTCCTTGAGAAGAAATCCACCAATGTGGTATGTGCCGTATGGGTCCGTGTCACCGATTGGGAGAACCGCACATTTATCGCGATTTAGTGGTAATCGGCACTTGGTAGACCACTAGTGCAGTCTATATAGAGCCTCTTGTAATATGTCGGCATCTTCTAGGATGGATACTGTTGACCAGAGCTAAAGATCATCAATGCAGCTCAATCTGTCGGTTTGGAGAGCAACCGGGAGATCATTTATGTAGATTCTGAAAAGTTCTGGTCCAAGTATGGATCCTTGTGGAACCCTACTTGTCATTGGTACAGGGGCGGATGTGCTTTGATTGACCTTTACGTGTAGGCTGCGGTCTCTTAAGAAGTCGGCGATACAGGAGAGGACTTTGCCCGTCACACTGATCTGAAGTTGGAGCAGCAAACTTTGGTGAGGTTTTGCTGAAGTCGATGAAGACTACGTCTATATGTTTTTGGGCATCTATGGCTTGTGCCCAAGTTTCTCTGGCGACTAACAAGTTGGAGACGCAGGAACGCGCTTTCCGGAAACAATGTTGGGATGGAGAAATTACGTCACAGTTCTAACAGTGTAGCTGGAGCGCAGGTTTGAGGAGTCGTTTCATGATCTTGCAGAGGACGGAAGTCAGGCACAATGGGCGATAGTTCGCCGGATCTTGGTGGTCTCCGCCCTTGTGCTTAGCCATCACTGTGCCTTCCTTCCAGTCAATGGGCAAATGGCCGACTTCGAGGGAGTGGCGAAATAGTTGGCAGAGGGGATCAGCGGTGTATTCCGCTATGGTCTTAAGGAATAAGGGACGCAACTCATCTGGGCCAGGAAAGGAGTTCAGATCCAATACGTATAGGAGCTTCATCACCACCTCAGGGTTGAATTCCATTTGATCAAAAGAGGAACAGTGTGCAGGCAAAGTTTTTGTGCAGAGGGGGGCATCACTGAGTGGACCGCAGAGTACTGCGAAGCTAATATGTTGGCTTTTTCTTCGCCATCATGAAGCACATTGAGGTCCTCGGAGAGTAGTGTGGGGATCCCACTACCCGCCCTGACATTTCTTTTCAGGTATGAGAAGAGTTTCTTGGGACAAGTTAGAGATTCCGTGGACAGGTTGTGTTCGTACTAGAGTCGCTTGTTGCGCTTTTTCAGGGTGCAAAGGTTTCTCACAGCCTTGTAAACTGAGCACCTCGATGCTAGTTGTGTGGTCTTGTGGTGATCCCACAGTTTCCGTCGTTCTTTTTCATTTAGAACCTGATTTATCTATTAATCCAAGGGAAGGCCTTTGGAGGAAGACCTGGCTTTGCAGGAAAGATGAAGCCATGCGCCGAGTGCCGGAAACGGTAACTAGGTCGAAAATAGGCTGTGTGGTTTGGTACAGCAGTGTAATATGCGTCCAGACGAGGGTGCTGATGGCTTTCTTGTTCAGGGCGTACGCGGGTCGTAGTAGACCGAGGGGATGAAAGGCAAAAGAAATACTTCGTAAGCCGCTGGTCAACCATCTAGCAAATGTCGGATCTGGATGAACGGCGGGTTTGTGTGACATCTCGTGGCTACCTGAGTGGAACTGTCACAGCTGCCCGTAGGGGACCGAGCGCGAGGCAACTAGATGGATGGCGTACAAACACGCATGATAGATGGCGGCTCAAACGATAATAAAGAGGAAATGGGAAGTTAAAGAGAAGAGGAAACGACAACCATTATATAGCCTACGCTCGACGACAACTTATCTGTTGATCTGCTACTGTGACACTTCGGTTTGCTCCTCCTTGACGGTAAATTGAAGTTTTTCACCGGTAGTTACGTACTTCATGCTGTCTTGTTGAGGTCTTACTTTCAAAGGAGAGCCTCGGAACAGTGCTAACAAGTGCAGTGCAAAAACGTTGTACTGTGTCAAAGTTCCATAGATCCAAATAGTTTCGGATCACCGTTTTCCCCCAATTACGTCGTACCCGTTCTCGGGTAAGACTGAGACTGTAATTAAGAGCAAGCAGAAAGGTTTCTGTACAACTCTAACGAATTACGAAAAATCAAAAACATTTAGCTGTGAATCATCAGCAGTTGTGTCTGGTCCGTTAATCGTTTATCCTTGTTCGGTTAGGAATTTCTACTAGTGTCATTATTTCCGGGCATAAAATCTCTTCTTTTGGCATTTTATGTGCATCGTTTCACAAAAGCACAGGTTTCCATAATTATTGTCGATACGGGCTTTAAAACACTTCACAGAATCAGCCTCTATTAATCTTTCGGGTAGTGTATTACATTAGTTTACGATTCTTAGTTCGATACAAAGCTGATGCGATACTTTGTTCATGTTGGGGCCCCTGAATTTGTAACGGTGTCCTCGGATGTTACAGGGTTCCCGCAGGTGAAATATTGGCCGCAGTATGGGGAAGTGATTTAAGTGTAGTACTCGATGGGTCATAATAAGGTCAATTCTTAATCGGCGATAGGATAGTGTGTAGAGTCCGAGCCTTTCACAACGTTTTTCATACGGAAGCGTTTGTAGACTCGGTATCATTCTAGTTGCGATACGCTGTATTTTCTCCAACTTTTCAGTTTCTCATTGGGTTATCGGATGGTAAGCTGGAGCACCGTATTCAAAGATTGGTCTAATGAGCGAGGTGAATAGACGAGCGACGGTTTCTTCGGACCATGTGGAGAAACTGCGTCTTAATGCCCAGAGCATACGAAGTCCCGCACGGTACAATTTCTCTGTATTTTCTAGTGATCTCATATCATGTCGTGAGAGAACTCCTAAGTCTCTGACAGATGTGTTAGGGTGGAGCAACTGACCGTCCAAGTTGTATGATCGGGTTGCTGGACGTCTGGTGATACTGATGAACTCCGACTTGCTTGCGATAAGAGGGAGTTGCATTTCAGTGGATCACGTTGACAGTCGCTCTAAGTCATGCTGGAGGCGAGCGCAGTCGTCCTGGTTCTCAATGATACTCCAGATTTTCAACTCATCTGCAAACAGGGCACATGGTGACTGGAGCTGCTGCGGAAGGTCGTTGATATGAATAAGAAATAATACTGGCCCAAGTACAGTTCCTTGAGGCACACCACTAGTCGATGGGAACCAGTCTGTCAGGTAGTCATTGACCTGTACTCTAAACTTTCGTCCCACAATAAACTCGTGTAAGCACTGAAGTAACGTGCCACCGATTCCGTATGTTCTCAGTTTACGAGGGAGTACCTCGTGGTTCACTCTGTCAAACGCCTTACTAAAGTCGATGTACACCACGTCAACATCTTTCCGCTCGTTGAGAGCTCGTACCCACAGGTGGTTTGCGTACATCAAGTTGGTGATGCAGGATCGTCCTTTCGTAAAGCCG